ATATACTATGGAGAAAAATAAATTAAACAGTCCTTCGGGAAATCCGTTAAAATTGGAACGATACAGAGAAGATTAGCATCACCCCTGCGCAAGGATGACACACATAAATCGAGAAATGGTCCAAATGTTTTAGAAAAATAATAAAAATAAAAATAAATTAAACAAGATTTGCCTGAGCATTACATCCGAATTCCTTACCAAATTTGAAATAAAAATAAAATACGAAAAACAAATACTAATAATAAAAATAAATAAAAATAAAAAGAGAATTAAATTTAGTGATTGCGCGAGCATGTTTTCGACACCGCCATCTTTGGCGATTTTTCAATTTTGTTTGGCAAAGCTAAATGCCCTGAAATTTTACAAGTGTGTACTTAATATAATACAAAACCCACTAAAAAAGTTTCAAAAAATAATAAAATTGTTTAGACCCCGAAAACAAAAAGTAAAAAGTGAAAAAATACGTGGGCGAGCATGTTTTGACACTGCCATCTTTGGCGATTTTTAATTCTTATTGGGCTTAGCCAAATGGATTTAAAATTTACAGGCATGTACCTCAGGTCATAGAGAACTCACAAAAAAAAATTAGAAAAAAATAATTAGTTTTTAGCCTCGAAATAAATTTTGGCGGGGGTCGAACGCCGTCGGGTTCGGACCCCGTACGGGACCCCGAACGCCCGTACGTATGGAGGTCTGCCCGGGGACCTCCGTACGTACGGGCTGGTGACCCTGTATATATATATATATTATATATATATCATATATATATATATATATATATATATATATATTCAATCAGAATTTGTTTTTGTCTAATTACTGAAAGGAAAAGAAAAAATTCATTCCGTCTCTGTTACGTGTAGCATTCATTGGGCTGTGGGGCCGTGTGAGTCATTCAAGGGTGTTTTGCAGGCTTCAAAAAAAAGAATAAAAATTGATGAGACGGTGCAGGCACCGTGCCATACCGCCATTAAAAAAAAAAAAAAAAAAAAAAAAAAAAAAAAAAATGTCGGTCCTCGTCTCGCGAGTGGCGGGTAGGCCTTGTGCCACACACTCGTTTCAGTTTGGTGATGAAATAAAGCACCAACCAGATCCCCTCCATCATTCGTTGGTGTGACACACACACACACACACACCTATGTAGAAAATCCGGATATCCGGCAGGCCATTTTATCTGGAATTTTCAATCCGGATGAAAATTCCGGATTAATTCCGGATATGGAAAAATCCGGCCCTGCGCAAAACATTTTTTTTTACCCAAAAACAAAATAATTCAAAACATTCTGGAAAAAAAGTATGTTGTTCACATCAACGACACGAACAACTTTTGGCTTGAGGCCATTGTTGATATCTCAACAGATAAAAAGATAAAAATATAAAACAGAAAAAGAAAAAAATATTTGGAAAAAATTATAAAACGAATCAAGCATCCCCCCTCTAAACCCCTTCATTCTCTATCTTACCCCCTTTCAACCCTTCCATGACTTATCAAGCTTTTTATGAAATAGGAACATAGTTCTATTGTATTTTGCATGCGCAATATTACTTTTTTTTTTTTTTTTTTTNCAAAACCACTGGTACTTCCGATGTTTGTCTCGTATCTACTTCAAGTTGTACTTCGTAGTTTATCCACTCGCAGTTTAGTTTCTCATCCGCTAGTAGTTATTCTCGTCACCTTCCTCCGTGAGGTGACCAAAGCCACTGAGGGCAACAAAACCCCGACAGGACTCCAGGGTGAGCGGTCTGGGCGGCAGCACCTATAGAGAGTAGCCTTTCTCCTCGGACCTCGACCTCTTCAACACTCAGCGATCAGGGCTGCTTCCTCTGAAACCCTGCGGTAAGTGGTCCGGGTGGCAGCACCCATAGAGAGTAATCTTTTCTCACCGTCTCTTCAACACTCGTCAATCAGCGCTGATTCCGCTGAAACCCCATGGAGAGCGGTCCAGGTGGCATCACCCGTAGAGAGTAATCTTTCTACTCCGCCTCTTCAACATGCATCGATCAGCACTGATTCCGCTGAAAAATCACGTCCACCTCCACATCCCCCTTGCCTACACAAGCTTTCTCAAGATCAGGAGTACAAAATCATTCTGCTTGTGTCTGTAATTCATGTGACACTGCCACATTTGGCAATGACAGACAGCTCAGAGAATGCAGTGCTGGCCAGAGAGCACTGCTTTGCCAGCGCTAAGTTAGCTTCTGCCCCCGAACACCATGCCCGGTCATTATAGCTGTGTTCGTGGAACTTTCTGCCAGTTTCTGGCCAGATACAGAGCTAAATTCCTCTAATGACCAGGCGCTTTGGTCGGGGGAACCCGGGGAACCCGGGGAACCGGGGGAGGAGGGTAGCTGCCGAAGCTATGGCACGAGCAAGAGACAATCTATGGCTCCAATTAATGTCTGACTCGGCGAATGACAGCATGTCACACCTTCGCTGAAGCCCCGCAGACGAGTCTTTGGCACAGATGAATCTGATCGGGCTTGCAGCTTTCTGATCAAGGAGTCCGCCACTAGACTTCTCTCAGACTGCTAGTCCCACCACCATACAAGCAGGTGGTAGACACCAAATTCACCAAATTATGGTGTATGACTAGACTTCCAGATACTTCGCTGTACTCTGGTGGCTCTCGCCCTCTCCGGCCTAAATGCCATTTCAGCAAAGATTGGCTGGGGGTAGGCTAATCCAGTCTTGTATGGATCTTGTTTCTGCTGTTGTGCATGGCTAAGCCAGTTTCCAGTTTCATCCAAAGTTACCAGTTTGCGGTGGCCGGAAGGTGGAACTTTGCTGCCGCATTCAGAGGAGCTCAGGCTTACTTCCCAAAGCAGCCTTGACCTCTGTTCTGTTCTCTTCTCCCACTGCGATGACCGCCTGTTTAGAAGCTTCGTAGACAGCCCAAGCTGCTGCATTAATCACTTTTCAAAGTTTCCCAGCAGCGACGTAGAGAGCCCAAGGCCCCAAGCTGCTGCATTAAGCGCTTTGAATTCCAGACCGTCCTTGATTTCACTCGTCAATGAGCTCAAGTCTTGCAGCTTGGTAGGCGGCGCAACTTCCGTGCAAGCCATGTCAAAGCTTGAGCTGTGGCTGAGCGCAAGCTATGGAGGAGTGGAGTCAGTGGACCCGTAGCAAGACGGCAAGCTATGGCAGAGTGCAGCCTATGGAGGAGGGAAAGCTATAACAGAGCTCAAACTATGATCGAGCAAGGTGCAGTCAAGAGTCAAGACCAGTAGTGACATGGACCTTGGTGGTGCTCCATTAGGCAGTTTCTGAAGCATCCTTGAACTGGTTCCTGTCCTCTTCTCCAACTGCGATGAAGACTCGTTTTGCAGCTTCGTAAACGGCCCACTCTACGGCCGACCGAGGGGCAACCGAGACCACAGAGGGCACCACACCTCGATACAACCCCATAATGCCGTCGTTCTGAATGATCGTGTGCAAGGCCGACCACGTGTTGGTGAAACCTTGGGGCGAAGGGGCCCAGTTGAACACAGGGTCGGTGGCGAGAGAGAAAGTCATGTCCATTCTTGTGACCACCAGAGGGAAGGTCATGAATCGCGCTACAGCCCCTGCCACAGCACCCATCCATATCGTGTTCCAGCTGTTTATCCTATCCACCTCCAAATGTCTTCTGATGTACAAGTTTTTCAGAGTGTTGTAGGTGTAGTAGTTGACGATCGCACTTGGAACGAGTACCAGCAGGGTAGGGGCCAAACCAGTATAAAGATGACTAACCCCTTCGTTCCGAAGGACCTTGATTAAGGCATCTGGGAGGCCTTTGTATCTGCTAGGTTCCGCATTTATTCTATCTACCAAATTGACTGCAGGGTAGACTGTCAAAGTTGCCATAACCCCTGCAGCAGCCCCTGGAAGGGTGGCAAGGGAAATACCCCTTGAAAACGGGAGCACCCGGGGTTCTTTACCCCTGGGGACACCAAGGATACGCCTGCGAACAGTCTCGTAGGTTACGAAGTCGATGCCCCTAGCTGTCGAGACAATTAGCACATTCCTAAGGAAGGTTAATAGCTGAAAGCCTTGCATTTTGAGCACACTGCCAAGAACCTGAGGTGTGGACTGAGGGGGTGCACTCCTCGCCACCATCCTTGTGACCAGGGCGGTCAACGGGCCAACTGCTGTCGCTGCGGCTCCACCTGCAAGGGCTCCACATAACAGCTGCTTCAATTCCAAGGCCCTCACAGGCCCCACAGGTGGGATATAAGTACTAGTTACGGGAATTCGCAAGTCCTTGCCGATTTCCGATAGGCCCCTAGAAACTTCTGCGACAAGCTCTTTCGTACCCACGTCCGAGTTCTTCTCCTCGGGCATCTCAGTCTTTAGACCGTTGTCAGACACCTGAACATTGCTGATCGCCGATGCAAGCCGTTCTCCTGTCGTCTTCAGCCGCTGCAGTCTCATGTCCAAGCACATCTCTTCACCCAATTTACCCTTATCACAACCATTCTCAGACATTTCCGAATGCTTCTGAGTCTTCTCTGACATCTGAGAACGGTTCTCAGACATCTCGGATGTGTGGGTCGGAGAGTTTAATAGCATCCCAGGCTTCTCCTGGGCCTTGGTCTTCGCAGGTTTGTCTTCGTCCACATGACTATCCCCCTCCTCCTCTCTGCTGACGGCCTGACTGGCTCGCTGGCTATGGTTGATCAGTTTCCACTTCTTCTCTAAGACTTGCTCTCCTCCTTGCTTCCCTTTGGCGATACGTCTGACGCCGAGGGACGCATACTCCAGCAGATCTTCCGCCATAGCCGGCTTGTTCCCTGCCTGCCGGACACGTGTCATCCTGCAATGATCCTGGTTACCGTTGACCTTATCCTTCTTCTTCTCTTCCTCCAGGAGATGGCCACGTGCCTGCCTCGACTCCTTAGTAGTACGTGTTGGCTCCCCTGCCACCGTCTCTCGTTCTCCCATGTCACCTTTAGCTGACGATCGGCATAGCACACTACCTGACCCAGATCCCTGAAGCAGACTCAAGACTGCAGCTGCTGCAAACGAACAACTCTTGCCAGAGAGTGCATTCTGCCCGTCTCCCTTCACACCTCCGTTTTCCTCTCCCCCTCCCCCCTCCTGGAGAGGGCAGACCCTATCATTTGGTTCCCTTCCATTCGCTCGATCTGTTTCCATCCCGGCCTCTCTGCCTTCGACCTTTCCTTTCCCACGTCCATGCAGCAGATTCAAGCTCGTGGCCGCAAACGGCGCTCTCCTCGACGTCCATTTCCTCCTCCTCGTCCTGGCCAATCCTTGGCCCACACGACCGACTAGGTCCTCGCCATCGCCAAGACCTTCGTGCACCCGATGACGAAGATGATCCGTCGGCTGGAAACCGATCACTACATCACCCCCACCTCCCCCTGCATGATACCTCCCATCTGTCTCGAGAGAGAGAGATTCCATCACCATGGAAAGTTCTAAGTCCCCAGCAATCGTTCCGAGCTGAAAGCTCTGTGCATCTTTTGAATCGTCGTTGAGGATCTGACGAGCGGTCCTCGAAGAAGACGAGGCTGCTGCGGCAAACAAGCGGCGGAAGCGGAAACCATGGCCGCCGCCATAGCCGCACCGGTTAGAGGAGACCCAAGACGTATCTTGCTGAGGGTATCCCTGCTGCTTTTCTGGTAAAGAGATGCTGGTGGGGACCACCATCGGGCTTTCTCGTCGTGCCTGGAGTCTCGATGAATCTAGGACGTTGATCCTGACCGTCAAGTTCCTCTTGTCCGTTGAATTCGCAGATCTACCCTCGGCGAGAAGACGAGAGAAGCGTTTCAACCACTCCATAGCCGTTCGACAGTAGAGCAGCAGCGAATGCTTATCACTGTGCCCTTCCTTCTTTTGCCGCCCTCCCTCCTCCCTCCCCCCCCGCTCCCTCCTCCTCCTCTTCTCCAGTCACTCCCCCCTGGAGTCTTATCCCACACTGTCAAGGAATTCTATTTTTAGAGGAGGAGGAGGAAGAAGAAGAGGGTTACCATGGAAAGGTGATCCTTACGTCTAATCTCTGGTGTACAAGAAGAAAGAAGAAGAAGAAGGAGAAGAAGAAGGAGGAGGAGGAGGAGGAGGAGGAAGAGCGAAGAAGAAGAAGAAGAAAAGGAACACTCGGTGCCAACGGAACGTCAGGAGGAGGAAGACGACTACTACTACTACTACTACTACTACTACTACGACGACGACGACGACGACGACGACTACTACTACGACGACGACGACGACGACGAAGAAGAAGAAGAAGAAGACTACTGGAACGTGAGGAGGAGGAGGAGTAGGAGGAGGAAGGAGGAGAGGAAGAAGTAGAAAGACTGCTGTTGGAACAAACGTATTCGAGCGACACCGTCACTTTTTTTGCTTGCGACGTGCCGTCCCTTGGACGGACCGCGCTGGCAATATTCCACTGCGGAAAACAACCCCGCAAGCGGCGCTGTTTTTTTCACTGAGTCTCGCAGAGAGCACTGTTTTCCTTCGACCGAGACGCCCTCTATCTTGACTTCTGATTCCTCCCTTTTCTCGCCCTCTCCCTTGTCTCTTTCCTTCTACCTACCGACCTCCCACCTCCTTGCTCCTCCTCTTCTATTCTTCTCTCTTTTGCCACTCCTGGTACCTTCCGTCGTCTGTCTCCTTCTTCTTCCCTTCTTCTTCTCTCCTCTCCTCTCCTCCCCAGTTGAGAAAACAGTCTCCCTCCACACTACCGACTCACCGTCTTCACGCGAACACAAGCACGGTCAGCACCCTCATGACGAATCTATCCAGCAGCAATCTTTCCGGTGACACGGGCGGGTTGGTAATGAGGCAGCTAGTTCCCCATTTTTTATTATTATTATTTTTTTTTGAAAAAAAAAATAAATTCCCCAAAGGCGGGGCGCAGCGTAAACCCGCATGCTATAATTCCTCGCTCTCACGTGCCATCATCTTCCGAGGGGGTTTGACACACCGTGAACTATATTAGCCTATTAGGGCATTCTTTTTTTTTTTTTTTTTTTTGAAGTATTAGGGCATTCTCACAGCTGCACGATTCTCACCCCCCCGAAAAAAAAAAAAAGAAAAAAAAAAGATTCTCACCCCAATCTTTCCGTATGCATGTGATGCACTATTCTTTTCTCCTTTTTTTTTTTCCTGTCAAAAACTGATCTATACTCTTCTCTCAATCTTATCTACGTATATTATTCCGCATCTATCTCATCTATCTCATCTATGTCATCTATCGCATCCTCTCGCTACCATGTGTATAGTCCGAGGGACCACCAACCACACCTGGAATTCTCCCAAGCCCACGTGGGATGATGCACGATTCCGACCTCAACCGTTTGCATTTTGTGATGAAGTCCCTACGGTATGCCCTTTTGCGCCCCGCTCCCTGTCTATTCTATCAATTACCTGAACCCGGGCTTTGACTCGCCAGAAGTCTCGGATCGAATATTGTGAGAGTACTCGGGGGGATACGCTCTTCCACTCATTTTGGACGTCATTGGTGGGAGGGGGGGGGGGGCGGGGGGGGGGGGAGGAGTAATTGCCGATATAGCGCGTTTTCGAAATTTGGCAGCCGAAATGTCGAGCGGGTTCCGAAAGATTCAAACATCTATTTGTGCAGGGAAAGTTGGGACCCCGCCTGCAAATATTTTTTTTTTATTCACCCAGGGGCCGCCGTAACTTAATTCAGGTCAAATCACATCTTAGGGTGTACTCACACTAGCTCCATCTTAAATGCATCTGACGGCAGGAGCAACGTGACGTGGAGTGGATGCATCCGACCGCGCGTCCATAAAGAAGTGAAGTAAAAAAGGTCGTACGGTAGTGTGAGTAGACCCTTGGACTCTTAGAGGAGACCGAATGTGAGTCTTCCGTCAACGAGGACTCGTGTCTGACTGCAATTCGCAATCAGGGACTGACCCCACCGTCTCGTCACGAGCCTTTTTTGGCCAATTTCGGAACCCCAAGCTTGAAGAGAAATCTATTGAGGCCCCATTTAATGTGGCATGGTACCAGGCCCAGGGGTTGGGACTGACTGGGTCCGATATACGCCTGTGCTCTGTGGTTTTAGATCAAGTGCGGCCAACCGTGACAACGCCAATCGTTGATCGTGCACCATATCGACTGCTAGTGTGGATTGTCTTCATTTCGTGGAGTTAGCTGCCCATCGGCCAGTAGAAAATTTTTAAATTTATTTGTTGGCCACTTTGCGTTGGCGCGAAGCTTCAATTCTATGGTTTTCTTGGAGGGAGGGGGGGGGGGGGGGG